TCAGATGCTGTCTGGTGTGATCTCATGGCCCGGCCGCGTCAGCGCCCCGGCCACTGCTTGCAAGGTGCGCTCGCAACCGTCTGCTGGGAAATATCTGTCATAGCCTGCCTTGTTGCCCACCACCACCAAGTTGAGCCCATGTGGGGGTGTGGATGCTATCTCCTCGTGGGACCTGTGGCCTTTGCAGGGGAGTGCGGCAAAGCGCATGTAGCCCGCAGCGATGTGCATCAGCCGGCGGCACTCTTGGGGGTGGTGTGTGAGATAGTAGTCATACTCTTCTGATGTTGGGCCATCTGCAAGTAGGTGCACCGTCAGGGTGGGTGTTGCCGTGTGTCTGGATCAGTGGAGGGACCAACGGACGGCCCTTTGCGCTGCTTGTGGTGTGGCTGGGGGGATGCTCATTGATGCACCTGTCCAGAGGACGCTGTGCGCATCCATTCGTGCCCCAAACGGCGCGTCAGGCGCGTGTGCGCTCCAGTACTCAATAGTGCTTGGCAGGACGGTGAGGGCGTCAGAGTACTGCTCTTTTGTACAGCCAAAAACTGTGTGCAGCTCTTGCCTGAGCACGGTTGGAGGCCGGTGAAGCCGCCCTTTGGGTGCGCTGCCCGTTCCAATGTGCGTTGCCACCACCTGAGCCAGCGCTGCGGGGAGGTCAGGGGGGCTGCCCTCGTCTGTTTGCATAAAGCGGCGGTACAGGTGCAGCAGGCGTTTGGGCTGTAGGGTGCGGACACAGGCGCCCGTGTGGTCATTGAGGGATGCGACCCTCGTTTGGCGCGCATCGGCGCCCTCCTCAATGGTCCTGATGCACAGCGTGTGGGCCCCTGTGGGCTGCGCATCCAAGTGGGGGTCGTAGTTGCGGTCAGCATGCACCTGCAACTTGAGGCGAATCTCCTCGCCTATGGTTTTGTTATACAGCGTGCCGGTGGGGTCAGAGTGCAGGCCCTGCCGTTCAGCATCGCTCAGGCCGGCGTCGCAGAGCCGCTCTGTCCGTGCCTTTGTCTCCACTGTGCGCACTTGCCAGCCTGCCTCGTAAGCCTCGACCTTCTGTGCATGTTCTAGTGTGTATTTGCCTGGGGGGCTCCCATCTGCATCATCACCCTCCTGCACTGTCTCTTGCGTGTCTTCCCACGTGGCCAGGAAATGCTGGCACTGTGTGAGGGGGCCCTGTCGCATTCGGTTGTGCCGTGTTTTGTGCTTCTGGGCCAGTGTTGCTCCTCGCCAGTGGAACGGGTACGGGCAGGGATACCTCACGCTTTGAGCACTCTGCTGCTTGCTGCACACTTGCCATGTCACGCCCCCTGTTAGACGCGACGGCCGACTACAACACCAAGATGGTTGAGTTTGTACTTCAAATTTACCTAGCCTCCATCCGTGCAACACATAATCTCAATCTGCTGAAGGATGTGGCAGAGTCATCATGAATGAGCTTGATGACAACTTGGCAGCTGCCGTATGCATACAGGGATCCACCGTCGGTCGCCGGGTTTCAAAGAAATGCAATTGATTTTTGAGCAATGAAGGGGTCGGGAAGGGACCGGGCCGGGGGCACCTGATGTGCTTGATCGAGTTACAAATGGTGTCATCGTCCCGGAGGCCGATGCTCTCCCGAGACCAGTCGCAACCCGGTGCAGGCCTTCCTTGCCTAAGTTATCTATGAAATTGTACATGATCACGCAGCACACCTGATCACCTCGCTGGCCCTACGACGGACACAAGTTCCCACCTCTGGCGGCCCGGGTGCGCAGCACAGGCTCTCGGCCGACTGTGCCGAGCTCGAAAATCTTTGCTCACGCACAACTCCGCCGCAGGAGCCTCCCTCGCTTTGCGTGCGGTTTGAAGGACGGTCACGACTGACCTACGGTAGACCCGCCGCCCGGCACGTCTGGTGAGTATGAGGCTACGAGGGCTCACTTAACATGGTGCATGCAGGCATCTCTGACCGAGTGGCATGCAGGCTGCCGCCAGCCATTGCTGCTGGCCGGCAGCTGATGTGTCCCGCTGGGCGGGCCGGCGGCCTGCAATGCAGCCACGCGGGTGGCGTGGGCGCGCAGGTGCGCCAGCAACTCCTCCCTGTTAATATTGCAAGTGTCATGTGACTATGCGACTGCATGCCGTCCCGCCTGATGGAGGGCCTCTGCTCCAGCTGGCTCTCTGACTCATGTTGTGTGCACGCCTCCACTGATCCACCAACACATGCATTCGCAACAGGCCCTGCAAGATGCGCGCGTCACTCCTCCTATGCTCCTGCCTTGCCGTGTTGGCGGCCCTGGTCGCTGCGGACGGCGCCGATTACTCCGTGGACTACAGCAGCCGCAGCCTGCTCGGGGCCAGCGGCTGTGACTGCGGCTGCTTGGTTCGCAATCCGTTCAGCGGAGGGTGCGCCCAGTGCAAGCCATGTGCAATCGCGCAGACAACGGTGTCGCGCAAAGACCCCGTCAAATGTGTGCCGACGCCACCGCCAACGCCAACGCCGTCGGTCTACCGCTTTGCGCCTGGCCGCCACCTGCGGGGCGCCAGCGGCTGCGACTGCGGCTGCCTAGTCCGCAACCCGTTCAGCGGCGGGTGCTCCCAGTGCAAGCCGTGCGCACTCGCGCAGGCAACGGCATCACGCAAGGACCCCGTCAACTGTGAGCCAACGCCAACGCCATCCGTCTACCGCGTCGCGCCCGGCCGCCGCCTCCTTGCGGCCAGCGGCTGCGACTGCGGCTGCCAAGTCCGCAACCCGCTCGGCCGCGGGTGCTCCGTGTGCAAGCCGTGTGTTCTCGCAGGCGCCCAAGACGCGGCAGCGAAAGCCGTCACCACCCTGCAGAAGACCGTCGACAAATTTGGCACCGACCTGAACAGGGTCGGCGCGGTCGTGGACGAGGCGCGCGCCGCCTACACAGACCCCTCCGGCTACATCCGCAACGCCATCATCAGAAGCAACCCGGCTGTGATGATAACGCAGGCGCTGGCAAGGGTGCGTCGGCGCGTGTTGCGGGGCGGCCCGCCGCGCGGCTTGCGGTGCTTGATGCATGCCCATCACACTTTACAGTGCGGCACCCCAAGCAAGGCGACTGAAACTGTGGCCCACGCGCTATGCATGCGACCACACGCGCGGCCCACCAGGAGCTGGATGTGAAGAACATCTGCGACACCGACGAGAGGAAGGCCGCGTTCAGCGCCGGCGGCTGGAGGGGCTACTACGGCAAGCGCCTGTGGGACTCCCGCAGCGTCGCGCTGCTGGTGGGCTCGGTGATCCCGGCCACGTCCGCGGCGGCCGTCAGCGAGATTCTATCTGAGATGAAGAGCCAGTACTCCACGGCGATGAGCCTGCTGGACAAGGCCGTAGAGGATGCGGTGCGCATGCGCGCGCGCGTGTGCTTGTGCTTGCCTTGCATGTGTCGGGAGCCTACCCCGGACAGGCCACACTGCAGCCACGCCTGCCGTTGCGTGCGCCTGCGTGCACACACGCATGTTGCACGAGAATGTGCACGGGCATCCACTGAAGCGCAAATAAACGCAAGTGCGCGCGTGCACGTGTGCGTGCTCTCTCACACACACACACACACACAAACACACACACACACACACACACACACACACACACACACACACACACACACACACACACACACACACACACACACACACACAC